CCAACATGGCAAACATGAATAGAACGTTAGAAGATAATGTTAGACTTTATTATTCTTTACAATATAACCTTGTGCACCAAATCATGTTCTTTATGAAATGGGGAATCCGTCCACGTCTGACACAGAAGTATTTGTGCCCATGCAACACAGGAAGGTCCTATTGGCACCCTTATATTTATTTTTATGTTTTCCTCCTAGGCATCGCCACCCATTAAATCTTACAAAATCAACCCCATAATCTCTCTCCAAAAATGAAACAAATCGTGGTTTGTACCTCTCCCCATGAGTGACACATCATTATTTAGGTGCGATCATCACCCCTTGCTTTATTTTTTTTGCTCTATTATTATTATTCCCCCCCTCTCTCTGACCTATCACATAAATTCCTAAAGTGCAAGTAGTCTATGACCAGTTTATCACATTTCATTCTTTCGCTAGATGCATAACAAATTCAACCATTAGAATGAAAATCATGTTTCGTTTGAAATCATAAAGTGCTACTATACATCCATTATACATACAATGCGAATACCCTGCAAAAAATAATGTGTGCACATAAAATCACTATAATCATCACTATCATCATCCGAGCCTTATCCCAACTATCTGGGATTAGCTACACAAATCATGTTCCGTCATCCATTCTATCAAGAGTCATACCCTCAGTCAAACCATAAGTTACCATATCTCTTTTCACTACTGCCATCTATGTCCTTTTGGACCTTCCTCTAGCCTTTTTAGATCCTTCCACTTGAATTAAATCACCCCTCCTAACCAGTGTTGTTCTAGGTTAACATTGCACATGACCACTCACCTAAGTCTACTTACCCTCATCTTCTCGCCAATTGGAGTAACCCCGAAGTTCCCTCAGATGTCTTCATTATGAATTCTATCTTTTTTAGTCTTGGCACTCATCCATCTCAACATCCTCATCTTAGCCACACTCATTCCATGGATATGTTATTTCTTGACCACCAACATTATGTCTCATAAGGCATGACTGGTCTTATGGCCATCCAATAAAATTTCCCCATAAGCTTCATTGGTATGTGACGATCTCAAAAGATACCAGAAGCACATCTCCACTTCGTCTACTTAGTTCTAATTATGTGTGTGTGTGTGTGTGTGTGTGTGTGTGTACGTATTCTATATTTATTAAGCCACAAATAAAACTAGGGACACATGGCATTCAACAAGAGTTAGACCCTTTGGAGAGAGAGATATTTGGGTATGAAACCTATCAAGAGAGGGCCTACAAAGTGGGAGTTTAGAGTAACCTAGTTCCTTGTCTAATTCAAAGTAACCTAATTCCTTATCCAATTCAACCCTTATCTATTCCAATAAGAAATACCTTCATCAGTAAATTTAAGAGAAAATGATAACTAATTGGAAAAAAAGGAAATTTTATCAAAATACACCTCACTTTTCAAGTATTTAACATTTTATCCTTTTTCTGCTTCCAATGAGAAACTAACATTTTATCCTTTTTCTACTATTCCAACTAGAAATCATGTGCATTTTGATGGGCGTTATGATATTAAATCAAAACATATCAATAAAATGCTAAATAGCAAATATCTAAGAGTATTTTGAATATTTCCCCCAGAAAACAAAAAACTTTCCCTTTGATAGATACTTTTTCTTTATCCAAAATTAAGAGTAAATACTTTGGATGTATCATACACATAAAGAGATACTCCCTCCTGTTTTAGGATTATTTACATCATGAAACCTAATCACACTACATCCCCAAATTTTTAGGCTTTTATCTTTTTGGGAAAAAAAGTATACATTTTATCACCCTGAGTTGTCACAATAATAGATCATGCATCATATGTGCCTCTCGCTACTATATCTATAATGAAGATGAAAAAAATTCTATCAAATACTGCACTAAAACTTGGTCCTTGCCTTTCCTTGATTAAAAAAAACTTTGAAAATTAGTCATGTGTCATTCATGGCTTGATTGGATGGCACATAAATCCAAAACAAGAGGTCAAGGGCAACACAAGTCAACTTAGACTATGACTTTGTGGGATTCCCATGCCAAGTCCGGTCTTTATTCTTTTTTACAGAGTGGGGGTATTTCCGGACAATAGGAGCATTTTAGCCGACCCCAAATAGGTGGGAAAAGGCTTTTGATGTTGAGGAGGAGCATTTTACATGCTCAATCCATACATGGTGCATTCTATTGAAACCCCTATGTCCCCAAGCACTCATACACACACAGACACTTATTGCACATGAAATCCAAAATCGGGGTTCATTGTCTTGGCTTATTAGTTGGAACATAAAGACCACAACAATAGTGTCCAAGGTTTGAGAACCAAATTTCCCATGCAAAAAAAAAAACAAATTTCCCATGCAAAAAAAAAAAACTAACTCACTGATTTATTAAAAGTAAATTAAGAGACATTGAGGCAGATCATACAGCTTATTTTATTTAGTGCTCCATCTGAACCACAAGATCCCAATTGTGTAGATCTAAGCAATTGCACAATAACCTTCACAATTGAAGGATCAATATATCTTCTTAATCTGCCAAGCTCAGTCATGATAAATATAAATTAAAATCATTATTAACCAATCAACAAGTATGCCAGCAAGTAATGCAGGATTTAGTGATGATCAGTCAACAATCCCAATCTTTTAAACCAATTATACACATAACCAACTATCAACGAAGACCATTTACTAAGAAATAAGTCCATCTATTCCACTATAAGTCCATCTATTCCACTGTCCATCTACGTGCAGAAGGAAACATTATGGTCCACTCTGCCTTTCATGGATGTGGGCCTTCCTATTCCCTGCTTACTAAGAAAATGCTGCAAAAATGCTCATAACTCTGAAAAGATCCTGCTTTCACTTGCTTCAAGATAACTCCATTCTTTAATAGAGTTGTTTGGCAGTCCAAACAGGGCTCAAGAACCCTCCAGAGTAACTCTATGCATGCATTCAGACAACAGGGGTGAGCAAGGGCTTCTTCAGTAGTTGGGCCTCCAGGTTGGCAACCACTAAGTCCGCCATGGCCTTGCAAGTCTCCCAAGTATCACTACCCACGTGAGGCACAAGCACCACATTGTCAAGCCCAAACAGCTAGGTTGGGACCTCTGGCTCACACTCAAACACATTAAGCCCAGCCCCACCAAGCCAGCCATCAAGCAGTGCACTCACCAACGGCAGGCTCATCCATGAGTGGGCCCCGCCCAATGTTCACAAGCACACCCTTTTGTCCTAAGGCTCCTATAACTTCTCGGTTTATTATATGGAGTGTTTCTTTGGTTAGAGGGCACGAGACCACAAGTATGTCACTATTTGTGGCAAGCTCAGTCATATTGGAGTAATATTTGTAGGTTACATCAGGTTTTTCCGATCTCGAGTGATAAATGATAGGGCGCCCAACTGCTTCAGCTCTTTTGCCGATGGCTAGCCCAATGCGACCTAGCCCTCTATACCAACAGTTTTGCCACTAAACTGTGAGGGATATCAAGGAAGCACATCAGAACTAGTTCTTTTTTGATAAGTTAGAAAACAAACAATAAGAAAGGGGTTCAGCACCTAAAGGTTAACTGGTTTGTTTTGTTTGTTGATCGATTGATAAATATCATGATGGAATGACTGTTTCTTATCAGAAATTGTTGCTATGCGTGTTCTTCGCGACTAGGAAGACAAGAGCAAAGTGGAAAGTGCACCAACCCAAAATCGACTCCATCTTAAATGCAACGCCTCTCTGTTTGAGACCCATATCTCTCTTGGAGATCCTCTTTCAAATGGCTCCAAGGGGGCAACCCATAAAAATATAGTTCATCCCTTTTATGCCCTTATATAGACTATAGAGGTCATTCTGGTTTATTTCTTACTCCCCGAGAAGCCCCTTTGTCTTTTGTGCAGAATACCCCCAAAATTTGTAGCTATAACCAAACCTACTATATCTAGAAGAGAAGTTGATGGACATAGGATAAATTTCTGAGAAAACTAGTTTCGTAACAAAACATAGAGGAGAGGAAAACTACTTCTACACTTTAAAAAAGGGTTACGCTCATGAAATTAAAAAATAAAGTTTATCTAACGAGTGCGGTTAGTATAGAGCCTAGGCTCTCAACAATCAAATTAAAGCCCACCTTCAAGTAGGGTCGATAAATATTATTTCAATACTGGAAATCTTTGTGATAGCCTTAAAATATATTTTCATCTTTAATTATAAAATTTAGAGCTTTATGAAAATCTCGAAAATTGACAGTTCAAAAATATGTCACAAGATGCACTATTTCCAAAACTTGAAATCCATTTTTTTCTCATGTCCAAGCATCGTGATATTGAGATGATCAATTTGAGTATATTTGGACATCAAAACAACCTCTTCTAGTAAAAATTTTGAGGTGGGCTCTAATTTGATTGTTTAGAGCTTGGGCTCTAAATAAAGTTTTTCCTTATCTAAAAGGCAAGTTGATGGAAATAAGAGCATATTTTCAGTAAAATTAGTTTCTTGGAAACAATTGCAGAAGAGAATATAAATAAGTAAATTCTTCTATACAATATTCTATGACTTGATTCATGAATCCCATGACTGCATTACTTCAATCTAGTCCAAATCTCCTAATTAAACTGTTAAAGTATTATTATTGTTGTTGTCGTCGTCGTTGTTGTTGGTGTTGTTGTTATTATTACTATTACTGTTAGTCTGCTACTTTTACTTTTATTGTTATTATTGTTACTATTACTATTACTATTACTATTACTATTACTATCACTATTACTATTACTATTACTATTACTATTACTATTACCATTACTATCACCATTACTATCACTATTACTATAATCATAATCATAATCAGGATCAGCATCAGCATCAATAAAATAAGCTAGAAAGAAAATAAAACAAAAACTATCCAAAACCAGTCATGCGCATCCATTCCAATTCTCAAACAAATAAATCAGTAAAAATAACAGAGGAAAAATATGGAAATCAAAGAGGTCGAAGTAGAGATACTAACCCTGGTGGTCAATTTATAATTCCCAAAAGTAATCCATTTCCCCTCTCTCACATGTCGATCAGCCATATGAAGCTGCCTTATTGTACAAATAATCAACCCGATCGTTAAATCAGCAACACAATCAGTCAAAACATCCGGTGTATTTGTAACCCTGATCCCCTTCTCCTTGCACATCTCCAAATCAATGGCATCAAGGCCCACTGAACAAGTAGCAACAATCTCCAAATTTGGCAAAGCATCGATAAATTCTGCTTTGGCGCCAACTGCAGAGTCCCCTACAATTGCTTGTATTGAAGCAGCGTTTTCAGAGAGGAATTTGGCCTGGTTTGGAGCTTCCCAGAGCTTGAAAATCTTGAATCGACGAGATATCTCTTCTTGAAGGTAGGGCATCATGGGCTGGGTCATCAACACACCGAAGCTTTCCATTTTTTGCAGGTTTTCTAGGTCCTCAAAGTCTTCGCACTTGAAAGCGAGCCAGATCTTACAATTTTAGAAAAAAAATTCTAGGTTTTCTCATTAAATAGAGAGTTTTGATATAGAATTAGAGAGTGTATGTTGGAGAGAGAGAGAGAGAGAGAGAG